AGTTACCTGACTCATTCCTATGATATTAAAGTGCTTTCTGCAGAGTTGTAAGAGGCTAAGATAATCTTTTAATAATTCCTATATCTTGACTAAGTCAAGTGGAGTAGGGCAGAATACTCTCAATAGGAGGTCACCTATGTGGGTGTGAAGTGGAGCTGCTTTAATGAGAATTATTCAAGGCTTGAATTCTTTAAACACTTGCAGAACCAAGAAGGGTTCAGGGCCAAAATGAACCAAGTCATGAAAATCATGAACGGTTTAGAAAAGATATCTGTGTGAGTATCGTTGTCTTGGCATACACTAAAGGTTGAATGGTTCAAGACATCACGTACACCAATTAGGCGAGTAAGTCCGATGGTATTTCACTACGGGAGGTTCAAGGCCAAAAGCTACTGTCCCCGATGCAGTGGCTTTTTGCTCTCTCTCTACTTGCATCACATCATAGCATTACCTTTGCATACTCTAATTTCCATTCATGTGGGGGATTTTTGGAATTGGTTCAAATAATTAACCAAAAATTGAAAAATGAAAAGGTGTGTAAAAGTGAAAAATGAAAAGGTGTGACTACGTGTCAACTTCGACCAAATATTCAGACTTGATCCGATGGTCAAATTACAAAAGTAAATAGACCAACTTATTCTACTCGTCGAGTAGATCGTCGTGGTATATTTGAAATCTCGAAACCAATTCCGGATGAATGAGAAATTACGGACCAAAGTTAGAAGAAATGAAGTGTTGCAACTTTTCGAAAGGATGCAGGTTTTGGCCAAGTGTTGCAACTTTTTGAAATGATGCATATTTTGGCCCACACTACTTCATTTGCACCCTTTCAACATCTATAAATAGAACTCTATGGACATGATTTTGAGAACACCAATTGCAATGAGCATTCATTCTCCTCTTGCAATTCCCTTCTTATAATTTCATAGCATTTTCATGCATTTCCTTGGTAGAGAGGAAATTCTGTTCGAGTTCGCTAGTCGAAGTCATTTGGAGTGTTCCTATGGCTTGATGCGATCGTTGTATCTTGGGAAATGATTGTCGAAAAATCGTTAACACCGATGCGAGGAAAATTCATCTTAAGGACCAAGTGTCAAACATTTGTCTCGACCAAAAATTCATTACTTGCATCTTTCTTCCTAAAGTTTTCTGATTTCTTTTGATTATATTTTGATTTCGGTAAATGATTAACATTGTTTACATATTTATGTTGCAAAGTTTGATCAAAAGAATAATTTGCTTTCGTTCAATAATCGAAAGGGATAAATCCATATCCATGCATTCAGATTCGGTAATTTTTATATTTTGCTTCTCAAATCCCATTTCGATAAGTCGAAATTACGTTTCGATTTCACACAAATAACCGATATACTTTTGTGAATATAATATGTACGTAATCGGTGTAAATTTCCCCAACACCCCGTCGACACCACCAAAAAAATTTCATCAGCTCACCACCACAATGCCATGAAGGCTGTCCCCTTTAGTCACGGAAAGCAATTTCTTGATCCCAATGCCATTAGCTTCTCCTTTCTGTCAGAACCTATCCACGCAACTTAATTAGTTAGTACCTCCTAATTCATGTATCTTATTTAATTTATATTATTCTTCATTTGATTAGTACTAAGAAATCATAAAATCAAGCGGTTCAGAGACAAATTGACAATCTAACAGTTGCAATTAATTAAAAAAAAAAGAGTGAGAGATTAATTACTTTCGAAGCTAAATTGGGAATAATGGAGATCGAAGCTAGATGAATCGGTGAAGGAAATAATCGGCTGCTGGCCTTCCTACTAACACTGTCGTAAAGCCGTCGTATTAAATCATCCACCGTCGTATCTAGTGACATCAAAACCTATACAGCTCCAAGGCTCCTCTAAATCATCACATTAAGAAAAAACTTTGTCAGTTTCAAGTTTCCCTATGCCACACCACATCCTTTTTTACGAACCAGTAAATCTGACACGGTTTAGTTGAGGAAGATAGAGAATATGGAGAGAGAAAGATAGATGTTGAGGGAGATAGGGACTGTAGAGAGATTAATTAGGAATGGTTATGATAACGATATTGTTTGAAAAGATTTTATTTGATTTTATTTAGGATAATTATTGATAAGATATTTATTAATTTATTAATTTTAATTTTAATTGTCACGTGAAATTAAAACTATACCACCTTAATTTTGAATTGTATAGGTCGTACGTAGGGTTTAGGCTAATTTTCCCATTCAGCATTGTTACCAAGAAGTACGCCCATTTACCTAAATCAAACAGGACTTATCCCCTATTTAGTAGAAATTTTAAATTTTAATTTAAATCGAACTCAAAAATTAATTTTAATCACAAATTTTGTAAAATCTACAACTTTTCAATCGCATATTTCACTGATTTTTATCAAAATCAATTAAAAATCTAATTTTAATTCTCAAGCAAACAAAGACTTTGATATTTTCTACAAATATTGTTCAAATGTGGGCTGAATTGAATGTATGGTTGAATCAATCCCCCAAAAAAAGTACTGTAATTGTCTATTATATAAAGGCCTTTAATAAAAATCTTATTTCGTATGATAGTTTTGTTTCAATTACAAAGTTTGTCATTTTTAACTTCTGTTATTAGCTCTTCAACCATAGTACTATTTCTAAGAACTCAAATAATAAACAAAAAATAATGTATTAATTAAAAGTAATTATTATTCAGCACCACCACAACTTGGCATTCAATTATTTCACTTACTACAATTAATTAATTTCAAGTTTCCTATTTTCTTTCTCTATTTCACAATAACAATGGATAAATTGAACAAGATAACAAATAAAATATGCCAATCTTTCCATAATTATGCCTAGACAGAAATGTAACATCTAAATTTAGTTTAATTAAAATTGCAACATCAATCCCCCGTATCTCCTAAAATAATAAATAGGTCTCAACTAATTAAATAAGCACTAAATGATAAAATAAAGCATTATCCCTTGCGCAGCCTCGAACAACTTTTAACATTTCTTTGAATTACGTCATTATTCTCGTGTTGGAAAAACTTGCCTCGTGAACCTTGCGTCATATCTTCATTATACACCTCGTAATAGTAACTACTCATTTGATAGATTTAACCTCCCGGACATAACTCAGTGGTGCAAATGATAGGAGTGAGGTAGTTTTAGCCTTATTGACAGCCGCAGTGTGGGAGTTCGATTCTTGAGATATGGAATTGGATTCTTTGTGAATACCAGTGTACGGACAAACTCTTGTTTATTGGCCTGTTAGGGCACATCCCGCGATTTACCTCTCTCACAATGCTCCAGAGACGAGGCGGTAGGGCTCTCAAGGTTGGGGTTTAACCTTTATTCATTTGATAGATATTATTGAGATAATATCAAAGAACATGTAAACTTCATCAAAAAAATCTATTCAATACAATCTAGAATATCATGATTACCAATCAACTTAATCAGAAACGGTGAAAAGTCTTATTTTGTTCACTTGGAGAGAACCATGAATAAGGTTCTCCTGCCAAATTAGCAAGCGGACAGTCTTATCCTATCCACTATGGATAAAAGAACAATTTCGTCAACTTAACATAGCTCCATTGAATTTTTTTCTTTCTATATAACATTATCACTAAAATGTTAATAATTGAGATTCCATCTTAAAAGGTTGACCTAGCTAAGAAGAGTAGTCCGGACCCTTTATAAATTGGTCTATATTCTCATCTTTATTCGATGTGAAATTTTATCTTTTAACATACTCCCACAAGATGGTGGCTCGTTTAAGCAGGCTAATCTTGAAATTCGTTGCTCATTTTTGAGTTTTAATCAGATCGAATTGTTCATTGGAGCTTAATGAGCTCTGATACCATGTTAAAGTTTGAGGTTCCATATTAAAATATCAACATTGTTAAGAGAAATAATCCAAACCTTTTATAAATTGATTTATATTTTCATTTCTATTCGATATGGAATTGTATGCCTTGACATGAAATGCTGCTCAAGCCTCAAGCTCCTAGTTAGTCAAGTTTGTGCAAAATTGTTCCAAACTGTCGAATCCATAAATACCTAGGACCCCATTCAGAAACATTTTTGAGATAAGGATCTTGAGAATACGTGTAACTATGAATATCCCTTTTTCGTTCCACCTTTGGGAATGAAGATGAAGGGAGCTCTGCATGGCTTCCACGTTTCATTATATTGAGAGTACGTGTAAACCCCAAATTTTGCTTCTTCTCCTACTGCTTACTGCTGATGAGACTCACTTCGTGACAGTCCATTCCAGGTACAAAAGCTCAGCTCAGGACCTGAGTAACACACTCTAAAATTTACTAATTCATTATGTCCACTCCACTGGAATCTCCAACTAAAGTTCACTTGCCAGGTGTCTCTCTATCTCTCTTTGCAGTAGAGCAATACATGAATTCACAAATAAATCCATCACAATTGACAATAATCTAACCCGTAAATTTTTTTTTATTAGGTACAGTTTTCGTTGCAGATGAACCGCAATCTCTTATAAGGTTTATTTCATTGATATGTTTTGTATGGATAAAGTTCCTTGCAAAAACCTGTTCTATTTCTATTTATTTATAAAGTTATCAATTCTGTAACTTGGATCTGTGGCGCAATGGTAGCGCGTCTGACTCCAGATCAGAAGGTTGCGTGTTCGATTCACGTCGGGTTCAAATCCCATGTTAACTAACGGATCTTTAATTTTTGAATCTAACTATCTATTTGCATTTTGCCAAAAAAATAAAAAAACAGACTCTTCCCTTTCTCCTTTGGATCGAATTATGAGGCATTAATGGATAAATTAACATTACTTTTTCTTCCGGACCAAAAAATTGATTAGCATTAACTGTATTTCTTCAAAGTCATGGCTCCTGTGTAAAATGAATTAATCCTATTTAGTGTCATGATAATCATTCAATTTTAAAGTCACCTGATAATCAAATAAAAATTAAAAAAATATAAAATATGTTAATCATTACAAAAAATAAAAAATTTATATGAAAGTAGGAACAATTCAGCAGTGGAGTCTGCGAAGCTAATTCGAGAACAAGTAAAAAGAAGTGTTCAATTTATGTTTCATGTTGGTGCAGAGAAAGAATGGTTTTTGTTTGCTGGGGTCGTCGCTTGTCTATATGCACTGTCCTTGATAGGAAACTGCTTCGATTTGCTTACACTTTGCTACATTGGTAAGAGTTTGTATTGTTCCATTTAGCCGTCTTCACTACTTATGAAAATTTTGCACATAAACTGTAGAGTCTTTTTTGTAGGGACCATAGGAGGGTTGACTATTCCTTTGATTTACGTGAAATACGAGCATAAAACAAGGGAATATGGAGAAAGATTGAAGATGAAACTACAAAGATTGCATGTCAAGATTGAGGAGAATATGCAAAGAATGAAGAAAAAGGTAGCTGGAGAACATGTCGTGTTTTAAATTGATATATGATAGAATGTCATGTGGTATTATATAATCCCTTATGTAAACATTGATGTATATGTAACAAAGAGTGTATATATATAAAATTCTGTTATGGGTATATTGTTGTTGACAACTATTTTGACATTGAGATGACAGCAATATTAACCATTGATTTTAGGAGAAAGTCATGTGTATAGAATTTTTTTCACAAAATCTATACAGGCAACACTTGATTGACAGTTTTTTTTTTTTTCTGTTTTGCTAACTGCCAATGAAAAAATGACAACTATACATATGTAAAAAAATCTGTGAAGGTAATTCCGTATATGTAGCATAACTGTTGATTTTAATCACACTTATTAAAATCAATAACACGATTTCTTACATATCATACAATGTCAAACTTCTTGTACACCAAGAATATACAACAAGTTTATCCATATATGTATATTGTATAGTAACAAAATAAGGCCATGTTTGATTAGCAACGAATTCCATGGAAAATGAAAATGAATTTCACTTTCTCACTTTTGTCATGTTTGATGATAATTTTTTCCGTGGAACTTGTTTTCTTGGTTTGCTTGCACATAGACATTTTTTGGTTTTCAAGGAAAACTTCTAGGCTATTGGCGATTTTTATTTTTTTCGTTTATTTATTATTATTATTATTATTTTGTAACGGAAACAAATTCTATCCCTAATTGTAAAAAAATATTTTCTTTTAATTGACAATTTTCATGTAAAATAAAGTCAAACGAACACCAAAAGATAGATAATTTTTTTTTTAATGGAAACAAATTTTATCCCCAATGCCAGTAAATTTTATTCCTTTATTAACAATTTTCATGTAAAATAAAGCCAAACGAACACCAAAAAATACTTTTATTTCAACATTTTTCATTTGAAAAATTATACCAATTAAACACAATAATTGACAATTTCCAATAAAACAATTTCTGGACAATTCAATTCCCTGAAATTCGTTTTCTTTTCACCCAAATTCCATCTTTGTAATCAAATGGACCCTAAGTCCAAATTATTAAAAAGAGAAGCACTGACAGGGCCAAAATTTCTGCTTTCACAGAGGATTACAAGCAATGAGTAAATATAAAGAAACAAGAGAACAGAAGCAAATGTTTGTAATCTCCACGAGTTAACTGCTTAATTTTAAGGAATTTGAATATATGCTGCATCACAGACAAATGGAATGTCAGCATACATCCCAGCAAGAGCGCACCTTATACGCTCCAAAACTGTGAACAAATAGGCAAATGCGACTGCAGTCAAAAAATGCATCCCGACCTTACCCCAGTTTATAACAAGTGGCATCCAACGGCTCAGAGTGCCAATAACCTGCAAAGCAATCTCCAATAGCATGCCCATAACCACGTGGAATCTAAAGAAATGTGGCCATTCTTTCCGCCTCCCTATTCCAAGGTAAGCAACAAAGAAATAAGCCATCAGAAACCAGCTAGGCAATCTCCCTGTAGCTCCCAAAAAGGGATAGGTCAAAAATTCAAAATCTTCCAAGAAAGGGTGCAGATGATATGCTGTTTCAGCATACATCCATGTCTCATGAAGAGGCATCAAATAAGGGAGGCATGCCAAAGATCTCCACCACCATTCGGCTTCTTGGTCATAGCGGGGTATCTATAACTATAGGGGACATCCTTGATTGCTCTTGCAGGCAAAAGAAACTTATGCCTCCGGGGCAACTTCGGTAGCATATGTAACAAGTTACCTTGTTCCCCTTTCGAAAGTGGTGTTGATGCAGCAGAAAGACAGTAAGACTGCATGTTTGCTGTGACAATTCAAAAATGAAAATTAGGGAAATGAGGATCGGGGCCAATAACTTGAATCACTGAAAATGTTACGCAAACTAGGAGCCTAGGATCATAGAAAATTGTAAACAGGACTTTGTCCCCTCAAAATTGGACGATCTTATGTGCGCATTTATAATTCATGATATCCACTAAAAATACACAAGGGATTGAGCAGATTCCTAATCGACTTCGAGTTTATTACAATCTAAGATTAGTGGCAATAAAATTTAGAGAACTTAAATATCTTCATATAGACTGGTGCTAGTTATTCAGACCAGACAGAGCACGAATCTGATAGAAAAAGCCAACACCTCAGCAATTAGAATGAATGAAAGGGAGGTCAATTGAATCCTAACGAAGTCGGAGCCCCTTCAAGAAAGAGTAGGAAGACATGCGAAGTTGTTTAAATGACATGACTAACAGGTGGCCCTTCCAAACAAATCCAGTTTGGAGGGGCACAACTATGTAGTGCTCAAGAATTAAGCTGGTTACAACAATATGCTATTCAAAACACAGAAAGGTTTGACAATTCATGTTGCTCAGCCAAAATTTACAGATAGTCTTGGAAGGTGTGAGGTCAATATGGTTAGACGTTTGAACACTGTCTTCAAGGTTTACAGGAAACTTAAGAAACTTTAGGCATACATCAAATGACCAACCGTGCTTATGGAGGAACGTTACAATTTATAGAAGCCAATTATACTAAATGCAAAAGAAACATAATTCATCATTAAGTGCAAACTGCTCATACTACAGAAGAGTACAAGGGTCAAGGAAAATTCGGCACCATTTATACTATGCACTGACTTTTTATTGAATTTATCAGAAATGGGTACAAACACACTGTAGGTTCAGAATCAAAGTCAAAGACGCAAGAAATAGCAAAAATATACAAGATCAAGTGTAGATCTGAAAAACACAAAAAATAAGAACACATCGATTTTTCGGCCTAAGCCCCGAGGTTCAACAACTTCTCAGTTGTCTAATCCCCGTTGAGCATCCACAAAGGAATAAGCTCGAATCCACTAAAAAACCGGCCAAGAACAGTTTCAACAATACACAGAACGCAGAGTTCAGTTCACGGCCAACACATGGCCTTGTTACAAACAGGATGGACTCACACAAGAGTTCATCAACTCTCAAACTCTCAAAAATTACACACGATTTCAGAGATTCACGAAGAAAGAAATTACAGAGAGAGAATAGAGAATTCTAGAAGCTGTTCGAGAAAGTGAAAGTAAAACCCTACAAGTTTCTAACCCTAATATGTGTGAAAATGATCACTTCTCCAACCAACGATTTTATTTTTGCCAAGTGTCATCATCCTAGAAGAAACGTTACTCGTAATTTGTTAGAAACACGCCTTTGTTATATTAGAACATTGGGCGGGTCTGACTTCTTGTTGGGCCTCCAGCTTTTAAATGGGCTGATCCCACACAAACAGCAACCAAAAACTTACACACACCTAATGATTTCTGGCATTATTGATTTGGGAGAGGAGCCAATGAACTTCAAGTGCAAGAGAATACTGTATTAGCCAGCAAGTGAAGTGTGCATGATGATGCCAAGTTTCGAGACCTAGGGCTACAATCTCTATATTTGTAGGACACATCAACGCCTCAAGCAGTTGGAGAGCATCCGCTTAGAATCATACTCCAGCACCGAGTTCAACTCCACCTTAAAATATAAAGAAACGAGAAAATTCAGATCATAAAAAGCAAAAAAAATGTTCGACCTATGCCGCCGACAAATAAAAAAGTCAATGTTGCTAGATATGCAATAGATAATGACTTATTACGTGCATACATGTATTTGTCTATGAGTGGGTGATATTCATACATATATATCTTTTGTAATAAGAATTACATTTTTACCATGCAACTTTCACATGTCAAGCTATTGGCACTATGAAAATCAGCCTGAAAATTTTTAGATAGATGAAATGATATAAAATACTTAATTTTATATCCTTTTGTAATATGTGTAAGGAGGATGATCGCAAACACACTACATAGTGCACATGGTATTCTCCATGTCAGTTAATATACAAAATTTCAGAAGACATTACTTATACATGCATATGATTATTAAAAAGTAAATTTCTTGTGCACGCATTCAGGAAACTATTATTTGGGATTTTATTATTTCTTATGTAGGCGAGGGGGCAGGCTTACTAATATAATCTCACAAATGCAACGATAAACAACGACGCCTTATTCTGGCCCAGCTAACTTTGAACATTATTCTCTATCCCTGTCCCTCTATAAATCCCCGGAGATTTCAATTGGGATTGAAAATTAATATTTTTAACAGAAAAATCAAAGAAATTCTTCAGAATTCGCAACTCAGCAAGATATTACTCAGCACATTTCTATTTATTAAGTTTTTCTAAACGAATAACCATATAATTGTTTGCCCCATTTGCAGTTCTTGTAGGGAATCTATTTATACATGCACAGCGAAAAATTAAAATTATTTCGATTCCCATCGAGGATCCCTTTGTGTTTATATAGAAATCGTGATAAAATTTATACATTTGAAGAATTCTGCAAACCTTTTGCTTTCCTTTTTCCTTCCAGCAATCTTGATTCGTCACCCACAGCTGTCCAATTGTCCAGCCTCCAACGGTGATCCATACAGAAAACAAGATTGCAGCTATCAGGATTTTCTCCTGTTGTGCTAGCAAGAATAATTATGAGAAAAACCATATGAATTGAAAACCCTAGCCATGTATTTATATAAGCCTAAACGGGCATGGTTCGGTCCGGTCCAATATTTAATTAATCTATTTAATTAAATCCGGTCCATGAATTAATTAATCCAATTAATTAATTTGGGCCTATAAATAATCAAACCAATTAATTAATTTATCCAACAATTGTTAAATTAATTAATTGACAAATTGCAATCTTCCAATTCTCTTTTGTGTGTGACCCATCAGGTTTTCGATCACGATACCTAACGACGTGAAATATTATTTTGATCTAATCAAAATTGATAAATTAAAACACCATTTTTAATTTATCATCAATCCACACTCGCCGTCCCAAATTGACATCTAGCAATGTGTCAGGGCAATACATGTGACGGAAAATGTCACGTGATATGATAAAATCAAATTCGTTCGTTTACCATGAAACTATAATCCCTTCATCTATATGATCCGATCAATTACGAGATATGAAATTTTGTCAATCTCAATTATCAATCATATATCTTTCACTCCACTATTAAGTCAATATAAGTCGAAAACTCCTTTTCGACTTATGAGTATACTTGGCCAAGGAGTTCATCATCGACTTAATTGAATGAAACCAGATCATAATCTTCTACTATCTAAGAGTGACGAATTCTTTATTAATCAATCACAACTTTCATATGATTCTTGACGTACCCGAACGATGTTGTATTAGCCGCCCTTTGCAGAGCAACATCCAACAACGCCAAAGTATGACTGTCCTCATATAAGATACCATGACGACTTCAAGTCAAAGGACCAATTCCACTACCGAACGTTAGATATTAACCACTAACACTCAGATAGTTATCCATGTGGAATCTCTCGGCGGGTCTCCAATGTTTTGTTCTATAACAAAACATTCACGTGTTCATTTAAGTGTTACCGCACTTTAACTTGTGAGATTAGTTACTTACTTCACAAGTAAGAAATGTCACATGTGATGGTCTATCCGTAATAACGATATTCGTATCTCGTTATTACTTACAACCACAAGTGATTTAAGATTCAATCATATATAATTTGTATCTTACAATCACAACTCTTTGTGATTAACAAATTACGAAGATTTGAATATACGGACTCTATTATTTATTTAATTGTTTATTAATTAAATAATAGATCTGTCATGAAATTACATTAATTATATATCAAAAGTATTTATGTCCAAAGTTGATTGAACCTAGAGCATAATACTTACAGTTCTGGCATACTCCTAAAGTCTTATCGTGGTTCTATTATCAATTCTCCACCTAAACAATTGACAGAAACAGATATGGTACTAGTCTTTCACACATTTCTGAGAAAATATAAAATTCGACAGCAAAAATAATAGATAGAACTCAAATTTTGAGTGGAAGAAATACGGGGGAAGGGCTTCGAACACAAAAACGGAGGTTCGGGAGGTAGGAACCTGAATTTTCTAGTCACAGTTGCTTATCAGGAGAATTTCTTCTACTCGACGGCAAATCGATAGAGAGAGACGAGGAAACTGAAACTCGGACTGGGGAAGACATATGACGGGGCTTTGTACACAATTTTTAGTACATCAACGTGTCTCGCTCGAACATAGTGTCCCACGTTCACGTGGGTGGAGCTTGCTCGAATGTGGTGTCCCTCACTCACATGAGTAGAGCCCTGCATGGGACACATTGATGTAAAAAAAAAAATTATGTAATGTTGTCCTATATATAACGACTAGATAATTTTGTTCCAAGTCATTTCATTTAAATTGAAAATTAGTAAATTATGCCTGACATATTTTGTTAAATGCACCACATTTTATTTGCAATAAAGATCCTCAATTTTTGTTCATTTTTATACTTCTATTCTCGAGCCTTTTTTCTTCATTTTTATCTTCAACATTCAATTAGTCAACGAATTTTGTCTTTGATGACGAAGGACAAAAAATATCATTAAAATGGATTAAAAAGATTTATTTCTCTTGTATTTTTAAAAAAAGCAACTAGAAGATTAATACAAAAGTACGACAAATTTTTTTTTTCAACGTTGCTAGAGATAATATGTACTAATTAATTAAATATTAAAGATAATAACGTGATCAAAATAGTTGGAAATATAAGTGTCAACATTCAATTAGTCAACGAATTTTGTCTTTGATGACGAAGGACAAAAAATATCATTAAAATGGATTAAAAAGATTTATTTCTCTTGTATTTTTAAAAAAAGCAACTAAAAGATTAATACAAAAGTACGACAAATTTTTTTTTTCAACGTTGCTAGAGATAATATGTACTAATTAATTAAATATTAAAGATAATAACGTGATCAAAATAGTTGGAAATATAAGTGAAAAAAATGAGCAAAAAGTAAAGATCTTCATAGTGATTAAAATGTAATATAGTTGACAAAAACGTCGTGCGAATATAATTAGCGTTTGTTAAAATAAACGATTACTCGTGTAACCATTCGAACATGGCATACTTGTAGGTAAATTCCATTTGCGTTAACTATACTTTCACTTTAGTGCCATCAGGTAAGTATATTTCAATTTTAGTATTTTGATTAACTATGCTTTAATATGAGTTCAATTCGATAACTGCACTTTAGTTCGATTTCAATTGGATAACTATACTTTAATTTAATTTATCATTGTTCAATTTCACTAATAATAATTGTCAATAAACAATCAATTGATGTAACAGTCAACGGTTAACAAAATATTGTTAATGTACATGAGGATTCAAACAGTTATTGAAAAACAGAGAGAAAACGCTTTGTTACAACATGACGGTATAGATTTTCTTTCAAATGGAAGTTTGATTGTTAGATTGGTAAGGTACTATAGTCCCAATCAGATTCACCAGATTATGCAACCTCAACAAAAATAAAATAAACTTTACCTTAAATATAAATTTAAGTTTTAGTAAACGAATGCTTCGTTTGGTATTTGCATTTAGAGCCTCAACTCCTGCTGATTAAATAGGTATGATTATTTAAGTGTGTGTGATAAATTTAATAATAGAGGAAATTATAAAATTCCAAGCATTTCAAAATCAAGTGAAAAAAGTTTTTCATTCACAATTCAGGTATTAATTTAATTGTTAATATTAATATAAAATATATCAAACCTATCTCATCCCAAACCAATTACAAACCCTAAAATTCAAATTCATTTCTCTCCATTTCTCTCTTCTCACTCTCTCCACTTAACCCACATCTTCGGTGCCGCCGCCCACTATCAGAAACCACCACCGCAGCGCGACAATAAGTACCGTCGCGCGAAGTAGATGCAACACACACCTCTCCCTTCTTATATATGTTCTCTCTTCCACTCTCGTTACACATGAATGGGCATTGCCTCTCGGAGAGCGTCGTCGACGAAGACTGCATATTCGCACTCAATAGATTTGCGTATTGCTTCTTCTTTTAAGCACCGTCTTGCAGTTGAGTGCAATTTCTATGGGAGATGATGAGCACGATAAAGCGAGGTGGGAAGATGATGATGACTATCACTATAGTAGGAGAGGTTGTGGTGGTGGTCGCTTTGGTCGTGGTCTACATGGACGTTGGGGAGGACCAGGTCGTGGTGGTTTTGGAGGAGATAGAGGTGGGTGGAGGGTTTGGTGGAGGTGCTGGAGGTCATGGTGGAGGATTTGGGGCTAGTGGAGGTGTTGGAGGAGGTCTTCTTGGAGGTGCTAAAGGTGGAGGATTCGATGGTGGTGGAGGATAAGGATAGGGGGTGGTGGAGGATTTGGCGCGGGTGGAGTTGGAGAAGGGGCAGATAAAGGTGGCGGAATTGGTGGTGCAGGAGGAGGAGGTGGAGGTGGTGGTGGTATTGGGGGTGGTTCTGGTCATGGTGGAGGATTTGGAGCTGGAGGTGTTGCAAGTGGTGGCAGTTGACGGTGGTGATGGCGGTGGTGGTGTTGTGGTGCTAGCGATAGTCGTAGGGTGAGGGTGGTCACAAGTGACAGTGACGGTAGTGGTAGTGTTGGTGGCATGGTGTGTAACACATTATATGGTGTATGCGAACAATTATTTGATTATCTATGACCAAGTATTAAACCGTGACCTAAATTTTGATAACTTGTGATTGAAATATAATTTGTGACCAACGGATTTGAAAATCTGTGATTGATAGATAAACTGTGACCTATGAAATTTTTGATTTATAATTTCGAAATAATTTGTGATTAATTAATTTGATAATATGTTACCAATAAATAAATTGTAATCTATAATTATTTATTTGTAACCATTAATTGTATAAGTTTGACTTTATGTATAATAAAGTCGAAATAACTGTGACCCGAGTTTTTATTTTTTCCCCTTAAAACTATCTGCTTATTAAAAAAGCAATAGCATCTAACAACAGAATCTAAGAATCTCGAAAATTGATCATTTTAACATAAATAAACATTAATTTGATTAACTTAAAAGCACAACAATACAAAATCAAGTCACTACTTCATTCAAATTATTAACATTTGCAGGCAAGCCCGCACAAATAGATGGCATTCCCCAAATGCATATGTTAATACATTTTTCTTTTTTGACACAATAAAATAGATTGCATTAATGAATATCGTTCAAAACAGATAGAAATTGAAAAATACAATCAACCCGACCATCAGAAACTAGGGAAATATAACAAAACGAGCAAGCTAATTACCCGCCTCATTCCCTACATATGTGACGGCAAGGGCCAGCGCCTACTGCAACTAGAGAGCTACTATTTCTCCAAAATGCTAGCATATGTTGTATTTTCAGCTAAGCTTATGAAATGTAGTTTTAAGTTAAAATTAAAATATGAGCGATTTGATTGTCAATATTTTTCATGAAAAACATCATCTTTTCATCTAAATTTTTTTTCTGTACTATTTGATCGATATTTTTTTTCATACAAAACATTTTCCTACTTTTAATCACGTGACTATATTTTTCTTGAAAACAAGAAAAATATTCTTTAGGAGAGTAAATTTTTATTTTCCAAGTAATTCACTCTCTCTCTCTCTCTCATCTACTACCCCTTTCTCATCTACCCACCAATAAAAAATGAACAATAAAAATATTTTCTAGATTGAAAATAAAATTAATCACACACATTTAATTAATAATTTACATGCAAATAATTTTAGGCGCAAATAATTTTAGGCAATTCAAATTGTCCAAAATTTATTTTCTTCCCATATAAATTTCATACTTATCCTCAGAATTACAAAGGTGAATACTCGACTGTAAACTTCAGAACCTCGTGAGATTAATTGAGGTGCGTGTAAGCCGATTCGATCACCCATGATTATCAAAAAAATAAAAATAATAAATTCCCTACTTACAATCACACACACCATGTTATTTTGACAATAAAGTAAAAAATACCATTAAATTAAGCAAACAAAAAGTAAACATATTGCTGGAAACAAAAAAGTTTAAAAAACTTTTAGTTTTATTTTTTAAGCTTGACCAAACAAGCATCCTTTTCTTCAACTGGCAGAGTCCCAACAACCCTTCACCATTTGAAGCTGCAATACACGAGAAGAGAGTAATCTAGCACAGATACACACACCATGTTATTTTGACAATAAAGTAAAAAATACCATTAAATTAAGCAAACAAAAAGTAAACATATTGCTGGAAACAAAAAGTTTAAAAAACTTTTAGTTTTATTTTTTAAGCTTGGCCAAACAAGCATCCTTTTCTTCAACTGGCAGAGTCCCAACAACCCTTCACCATTTGAAGCTGCAATGCACGAGAAGAGAGTAATCTCTGACGTACAATAATATAAAGGTGCTATAAGAATTCTCCAACATAACCACATGGGCAATACAGAGTATAGATTGGTACATACAGCAATTCAAAACAAGCCATACAATAACCACTGCCAGCTAGTGTAGTCCTATGACATGTATCATGCTTCAATTTCTTCTCAACAGAAGGATACAGACAGCCAAATACAATTCCATTCTGAACCAAAATACGACTGACATACTGAACCATGACCGGACTCGAATCATACTTTTAGTAGGATGTTACGAACTTTCTAAACAAGGTCTCTGTGAAGACATAATACAAGAAAATTTTCCCTTGTTTTTCCATTTTTCCAGCTTCCAGTCCTACACAAAAGTCGCAATCATAGAGCATAAATGACCTCTCCACTGCTGTCAATATCAAGATCAGGGTCGGAATCCAGGTCTTCCATGTCATCATCCATCATGTCCAGGTTATAGAAACCAGCAGAAGGTATGGTCGCCTCTGAGATTATCTGCATAATGACTTCCAGACTCTGCATGGGCTGGTCAGGCTCTTCAAACTGGTTTCCCATCGTCCTTTCATCCATTAGATCTGCTGGAAGGTTCTTCAGGAACCACACGTGGTCTCGAATCTCCGGAATGGTGATACGCTAACCGGGCATATGTCATGATAGCACAAGACGGTGACCAAAATTTATAATGCAAATGCCCCATTCACATAAAGAAACAGCAAGGCAGCCATTTATATAATTAACTTGACCGTGAAAATAAAATGTTATAATTCAACTGGACAACAAAAACAAAAGTATATTATTGGAAGATGGAATCACTCACTTGTGCAGGGTCTGCAACAAAGATCCGGGAAATTAGCTGCCGACATTCCTCAGAAATTTTGACATGTTCTGGAATGGAATATTGAACGTGTAAGATTCTTTGAATTGTCTTTCGGTAGTCCTTGGGTTCTTCAGGATCCTCGAATGGATAGGCACCTACGAGCATTACATATAAAGTGACCCCGCAGGACCATACATCTGCTATCTGAAGAAGTAGAAGATGTAAGATTTAACAGCCAGCAATTGTTCACAAATATAAGAAAGCAATTCAAAGGTATTTGGGGATGGGCTCATTTTCAAAAAATAAAAATAAAATTATTTGCTACTAAGTTATTACTTGCAGTTGTGCCCTCAAGGATCAGTTTCTTATTGTTGTCTAAAGGATTTGGAAAAAAAATATTCATTGTCAGCAGTCCAATACTCAACTTTGTACATTTGATTTGCCCAACTCCATTCCAGTAAAAGATACATCAAATGAGAAAAGAGATACTGAAAAATAATTCTTCCCCCCCCCCCCCCCAACCTTCAATTTATTGCTTATTTGGGCTTCAAAATTCAACTAATTCAGGCACATTGTTCCTGGATTCCAGTCCTACTAAATATGTGGGCAAACTTTTTTAATTTGCACAAATTGTTTGGCCACTGTGTGTGTTTTAGAAATCGCTCTTATTATATTCAACAATTTATAGATTCTCTCTAAGTTTCATTAACAGTCACTCCAGTCCATTCTGAATAATCAATAAAGTATTAATTTTCCACTTCCAATTTTAATATATTGCCTTATAATTTTGAGAATTAATTTATGTTTTCTGTTGAACGGCTTTTACAGTGCTCAAATTATTGAAGTTTTTTATGCTGGTGTAATTATGTCAAATTGTAGGAGCTAGAGAAAAAACATTTAATAGCATTCAGGATCAATCATCTAGAACTTGCAGTAGTTTTTACTTAAAAAGAAGAGAGATACAATACAAATTTATGAGTTATCTTGTACAGAATTATTGACTTTAGCCCTAAACACGTCACTGGATTATTGACTAAAATTGACATAAAAATACAATAAAAATAAAATAAAATAAATAGAAGTAGAAGCCAGTGGCTTTTGGTGGAACACCTCAATTATAAAAGTACAGTTGAGTTCCACTAAACCAACCTCTTCAAAATTAGCTCACAACTCTACAATCCTAAAACCTATTTAACTTGAGAATTGTTATGCTGCCAGCATAATTTGTACCTAGTATTTTCAGTTTGTACAACTCAAGATGATCAATTGAGAAAATAGTAAGACAACAGTTGGGTCATCATAATGAAATAAAACAGGTGATATAGATATCCAAGCAAACAATTACACCTCACATCTTATAGGAGTTCATAGGGATTCTTGTTGTTTATGCAATTGAACATACTAACATAAGCCCATGTTTGAGTATCAATCTACATAAACTCAAGTTATCCCAAACTCATTTTCAACAACACATTTCCCTACTTTTTAACCACATATTCTCCAAAAAATCACTATTATAAAACCTACTTTACCAAAAAATGGGTCTCAAACAACCCCTAAAAATCCATATAGAACTAATGAGAGCACCCACTTTACGCTCCATATAAAATATGCCTCCATCCCAAACCTGGATGGTAAAATAAAAGGAACTTCCAAACAAACATCCATAGGTAAAATGTCACACAAAAACTACGCAACGTTATATCCAAAATATTTCATTAGATTATATTTGAAATCCACATCCAGATGTTTTAAGCATATCTTCGTGTTTCTACTATGCATGAAAGATAAATATAGCAACCATATTCATGATATAGTGTTGTATTCTATAAAAAACAGAGTGAATGGTTTTACCTTTCCATCATATTCTTTCCTAAGTAGCACTTCAGGAGCAATATATGCAGGAGTTCCCACAGTAGATTTGGGTTGAGAGTGCAGCAATGAAGACTATAATGAACAAGCTATAATCAGGATTGGAAAGGACGGGAGACAATTATGAGATAAAAGCAAGTATAACATAATAGGCCAGAAGGTTTTCTGTATTATCCGAAAAGCTGAACAAAATACAATTGGACAATCCATAGCATTACCTTAGAATACCCAAAATCACAAATTTTGAGCCTTGGAGCAGGGCTTCCATCTAACAGTGTGTTTTCCAGCTTCAAGTCCCTATGACATATTTGCTTCACCAAGAAACATAATATTGATCAATCAGCTTATTACCAATCAAAACGAGAAGAAAATACTCATAAATAAGAAATCAATTTCAACTAAAACATTAAAATACCATCGAATGACAGTAACTGACTCCAGATATAAGTTGCTGAAAAAAGAAGCGAGCCTGCACAGAAACGGCAGTAAATATCGTCGATCACAATGTGCAGAATGAAATAGCTGAATGATAGGAATTTAATTAACAGAACCTCATCCTCGTTGAAGCGTCCCGCATTGCATATTCTCTCAAAAAGCTCTCCTCCAGATGCATACTCCATGACAATGGCCAAATGAGTTGGAGTTAGAATGACCTGACATTGGATATTAAGATTGTGACCAGTAAGAAAATAAAACATTTCTGAATCATATAAATGCCAAAAAGGGATATTCAGCAGCAAACCTCTTTAAATCTAACAATATTAGGGTGCCTCAAAGAGCGGTGATTTATAATTTCTCTTTGAACATTTTCATCTATCTACAATAAAAATTACCAGACAGGTCATTGATTGTTTAAGCACAAAAATATATTAGAGATATATAAAGAAGTGCAGAAGATATCTCGAGAAGCCAACACCAGCCCTGCAGGCTAAACAGAAATATTTCGTGGAATATCAAACCATAACTTCCTTGGGCATTTCATGGAGGAGATGATAATGGAAAAACCAAAGGTATCAGGCATAATGTAGCAATTTATCATAAATAAGAAACCTGCTGATCAGCCATAAAGTAGTCATTGAATCGCTACACGAGAAAGACTGCTCAAAAGAAAATAAAAAATTACCGTCCAAATTCTTGCAGTTCTCTTTGTATCATAAAATGAAAAATAGAGTAAATATATGTAATGGCACCAAAATTACATTTTTACCATAAATAGGTTATAGGCATTCTTATGACTATTAACGTATCTCTCCTTCACCAACTCCATTTAATATAAAATACAGAGCACACTTTAGATCTCAACTATATAAACGGATGCAAGACTTGACAAAGAATACAATAAAAACAAAAACCTCCTGTTTTGAACAAGAAATAAATCACATTCCTACCCAGAAATACCAAATGAACAATGAAGCAAATGTAATGCAAAAACATCCATCCCATGTTTTGCATTGGAGAATTGTCGTCAAAAATCAACTCCAGTAGAAATAAAATTGAAATTTTATATATCTATGTGTGTGTGTCCATTTTGGTAGTTAGTTAATAGACAGTCTACACGTTCTATATTTATATAAAATCATCAGAAGATGAGTTTTTAAGTTTGACCTAATTCATAGCCAAAACAGGTTCAAGAGCATTTTCAGATGTGCTATAGACATGGTTGAGTTTTCTCCTTCAACTCTAATGAGCTCAAGAAGCCCAGTTCATTCCCTTTCTTCACTTGCATGATTTTTCCTGAACTAATATTGTATATGCCGACAATCTAATAGAACTTTACACAAGCAAGCCAATACTGAGACACATGAATGGAATTTTTTACCCACTCCATTAGCCATCTTGAAGTAGCATGTTGTATCTTGGCTTTCACCGAGAGCTGTGGTGGTTGCTTTTCTTTTTTATTGTATAAGTTACTCAAATTTTCATTTAATACAAATTCTTCATTCACAATTTACAATGTACACATGCATAAATAAATTATATGAATCTTGTGTAGCATTCAACTTAGACCATAAAATTCCGTAAGAGCAATCACCAGAAAGTTGATTCTACAAAGAACTGTCTTAGGGGAGGCAATAATATGGACCAAGTGAATTATGAATCTATGATATCCTGGGTCCTAAACTTGCTAAGATCTCAGAGGAAAGAGAACAATGACAGTTCAAAAAGACGCACGACGGCACAGAATGTTGATAGCCATGATTTATTTATTAATCTGTTCACTTGCATTTTTCAGCTAACAAGTTTGAAGATATGTCTATCCTCTATTTAAGTAAGCATTTAACAGAAATATTTCAACTAGAAAAAATTGCAACTCTAAAAATAGAAAATTAAAATGCTAAAAAACTCAGGAATTGTATATGTTCCCAAAAATATAATTTTTCCGTGTTTGGTCCAATAAAAAGAAATTGTATACAACATCAGAGCAAGTTCAATATTATAAAAACCATTTCCAAAAATGGAGAAAACAAAGCATAATAAACTTGAATTTCTACTAACAATACTAATCTCACCCGATCACCTCGTTCAATATACTTAGAAGCGACCAGCTCATTGGCCTGTTTATCTTTCAAGAGCCGGACCACCCCGAAATTACCTCCTCCAAGACCCCTAATAAACTCATACTGATCACTGTTGTGCACAATTGGCACACTACCTGGGCCCCTTCTTATTTTCAGCCAATCCATTTACCTTCTTAACTAGTAGTATTATCCACTACCAAACTAAATAGTACCACTTACCACCGAGGAGCATCAGCTGATGAAATTGGAAGAAGAGATCTACAGCAATAAGGTGGTTTTGCCCATGGTCCTTTTTTTTCCCACAATAAAAGGCAACCTATCAGAAGAGTGGAATGGGAATTACAGTTGTTTTTTCACTCTTCTTGAAAGGAAGGGACATCCGACAATCAATGGGATTGATGTGTTCTCCGCTGTATTCTATTATAAAAGTCATTGGAAATGGAGAAGAAGGTGATGCTGACATCACGATGTCGTTTTGCAGTAGTTGGGCAGCCTCAGATACGACGATATTCTCATCTCCCCTACAACAATTTCTTCTTTGACTTGTCTTCTTTTCTCACGTGTTTTCCTTTATAGTTTTTGTTTCCTTCTAAGGACAAATGACGAAAATATCCTTTGTTTATAAAAGCTTTGGCGTGAAAAACAATGATAAGCAAGAAGTTCACACTCAGAAAATATCAAATATCCTGATTCACATTGTGCGTCTAATTTAACATGGAAGATTAATAAGCTTATGCCTATCAGATTGGAGGAAGATATCTAATTATCAGAATAATAAAATCGTGATCTTCCCTTTTTTAGTGACATGTCTGCCTAACTTAGGATATGAGCACATAATTAATTTGTTTCACTCCTTTCTGTTCAACTAATTTCTTGTGTCCAAGAAGAATGGAATAAGATCAATATAGCCCTCACAAATTAGTAGGGTATAAGGCTTTCATTATATTGAGTAGAGTATCACACTGACTAATTTATAACCCGTTCTAAGCTCTGAAGTGTCCTTCCAAATTTGAAGTGAGACCTCTTCAACTAAGTTGTCACATCAACCCCATTCCGGTTTACGCATCATAATCTCACATAAAATGTTGTTTTTCCCCTGGGTTACATACTTGTGAGGCTTTGATAAACTTCATTTCTATCTACTATAACTAAGTCCTACTTTCTAATTTCTATATAGCTTCTCTGCTCTATGTAAATTGGTTTTACATATGTGATGCCAAAGATAAAACCATCTTCACGTTGATAGCATTAGCAGTTAAACCAACCTGTGTTAAATTTATACAATTTACAGTGAATGTCAAATGATTTGTGTAAAGCTAGAACCTAGCTACCAAGACAGAGGTATGCAAAAATTATAGAAGGAAGAGGACTTTTCTCATTTACATGCATCTGGATCAGACAGCAGTCCCATAAAAGATATAAGGCATGACTCTCAGGACTTTAACTCCAAGGGCCAACCATGGGACCATTAAAGCATGCTATAATAATGCCCTCGCTTCACTTCAAGATGCTATTTACCCATAAGTATAGGAAAAACTACCTTTTCAAGTGAATTGCTTTGCTAGAAAGTTATATGGAGGAATCTGAGCGACTGATTGAGACTTGAATCGCGTTCCATACATTGAACATTACTATTAGCAGGTCATGGGATTTTCAATCAAAAGGATAAGTTCATGTCTGGAAGAATGCAATTTTGTTCACAATGAACAAAATATGACTAAATATGCAGAGTTTGGACAGGGTACTCCTAAGAATTCCATAGGTAACTGATCATGTCTAATGATGTGAAGTGATTGAGTATCAAAATAGCCAGATGATATAACTATTAGACATTCAGAATAACAGGTACTGTGATGCCTTAAACATTATATCATTAGGATTGACTATGATGATCTATAATGTGGAAGGAATAGCCTATAATCTTCAAAGAAAGATGTTATGGTTAGACTTGAATCCTAAGGGTACATTTGATAGGAGTGGAAACAAAATATATGGGAAATAAAGAAATCAGAATGAGGAAAGAAAATTGTTTTTCCACTGTTTCAATTGGAGGGAAGGGGTGAGGGAAGTATAAGGTTGAAAAAAAAAATCTACATTTTAAATATGGCACAAGAAACATCAATTCAGAAGATTACTAAAGATCCCATTTCCATTTTTCATATGTAGATCAAATAAGAGGAGGATACTCCACTTTCCTTCTGCAAAAGAAATAGAAATAACTTTTTCTCCAATATTTCCATCACAGAGAACTTTCCCTCTGCAGAAGATATCCTAATATCCAATCTTCAATAATTTATATCCTTGTTGTCACAGTAATATACCAACTAGAGCTTGTTTGGTAGAGATTTTGTTAATTGATTTTTTGACTATTAAAGATAAAGTGGATCCACCTGTGAGAGAAGAATTCAAAAATGAAGGTTGAAATAGTGAAATAACGGTAAAAAAATTGATGTTAATTGGATTAAAATATCTACCAAACATGCTCCTAAAGTAAGCGACTTTCAGCAGCGATACCAATTCTTAATTAGAAGATGGCTAAGAGCGACCAAAGCACAGAGGTTAAGGACTTGACACTTGACAGTTTGCCTAATCCCTTTATCCCTCAGCAAAAAAGAAAAATAAATAAATAGAGAGAGAGAGAGAGAGAGAGACTCGTTTCAAAGAAAAGTCGAAGTTCTATATGAGTAAAACCCCTGCCAGCAAGCGTGTGCGCACATCTATAATAGTCTTCAAAAAATAAGAAGCACTTTATTGGTACCTAATAAAAATAAAAATTTCTAGAAACAAAAATTTTTTAGTTAATAAGAGAAAGTACATTAGATTGAATGACCTAGAAGAATTTATTTTTTATTTTTTTATTTTTTTTAGTACAGAACTTCTTCCTTTTTCCCTGTATTCTGTCTCAACCCTCCTAATAAACACAAATGTACACACACTGAGAAATCTCTCTCTCTCTCTCTCTCTCTCTCTCTCTCTCTCATTACTACGCTAAATTATTCAAATTTAATCCACGATTTATGGCGAAATTTAAGACATTTTGGCTTCAATCAAAAGCTTCCACTAGAAACATCTATCAATTCATCACCAACGTTGGATAGAGTTGACTGAGCAAGGGTCTAGGCATGTTAAAATCATGCATATTTCATCCTACCAGACTGAATTGTAGCAAAGGCCATCACTAGACGGGAGTTATTTCAAGTCATCACTTCTTTCTAAACAGTCAGGTCTCTATATCTACTTTTGAGTAGAAATATCCCCTTCATTCTTTCTCTTAGCGTATATATTTTTGATGGATATGCAAATCCACCTCAAACTTACAGAAAAAAGAAGTCTAGATAGGACAGCCAGATTCTTTGTACTCGTGGATATTAACTTCCTATTAGGCTCATTTACTTATTGAGAAGCATTAAATTGTGATTAGAACCTGAGAAATTATTTCCCACCTTGATGTCAATGAATTACATCACACACAAGGAGGGCTGTTATGTAGTTACTCTATACTTATGTGTGAACTCAGGTTATATTTATTTTTAAATAATATAATGTAGTCTAAATAAGCTGATTATGATACAGATCAGCCTTGTTTGAAAACTTGTAAAAAGAAGCCCTAGAAAAAGTCTGGTGCAATATATAATTATCTATTTACAAATAATAATATCCACAACTCAAGTCCCAAGATGAAGATGATGTTAATCCTACTTAAAACAATCGTTTTACAGTGTTATCTTACCAAAAAAGTAGAACTAATAAGTACCTCAAAATCGAAACCTAAAATGCTTAATCCTAGAGGAATTAAAATTAAAATAAAAATAAATAAAATTCCCTAATCTGGACATTCCAAATTTGTACCAACAACAATAATTACGTGCCGAAACAAAGCTTCTCCAGTGTTTACTCGAAACCCAATTCCATAAGCAGATAAAGACCAGCAAAAGTTCAGCAAAATTCATTTTACGCATATAAAAAAACTGACCTTGTCGCCCCTCTCAATATACTTCACAGCAACAAGTTCCTTGGTTTGCTTATCTCTCATGAGCCGAGCAACCCCGAAATTACCCGACCCGATATCTCGGACTAAATCGTATCGATCACTATCGTGCATGATCGGCATATCCATTCCTGGACCAAGTGTTATTTGCGCCCGATCCATTTACCCGATTGACTAATATTAGGTTTTAAACCAACTTCAATAGATGAAATTCAGTTCATTCGCATTACACAGTTCACTAAACGACCGCGTTTCGCTACCGTCGGTGAATAGTTTCCAGTTCGGCAGATCGGAAAGTGAACGGTTTGGGTCTAGGTTTTCTTGGAAGTAATTGACAGATTAAGAAAGTGTAAAAGGCGGTTGTATTTGTACTTCCACTTTTAGATGGAGATATTTTTGGTTCTGTGGTCGCGAAGGATCGGATAAATATCTCTCTCTGTTTTTTCTGTTATAGGAAACAGCAATAAGATTATGGAGAAGAAAGTAAGGATGACAACAAGATGTCGTTTTCGTCAAGCTGGACGACGTTGAATACGACGACGTTTTCTCTCTCCCTCTATCTCTCCTACTATTGGATTAAAAATATTTTTTATGTATTGTTTTCTGAATTTTTACACTTTCTTCAGACCGATTGCTATTGTTTTTTTGGGTAATTATATTTGCACTATAATTTTTATTTTTTACACCACATTTTAATTCTACTTGAGGTTCTGAAGTTTTGTTTATTATAATACTTATGTTTCTAATGATCTTTTCTATCATTTTTATCTTCAAGCTTTTCATTAGTTAACACTTTTTATACTTGATAATAATCTCTATTATTCCATTTGTACAAAAATAAAATTTACAGAATTAATACAGAAATCTCACATGGAGGCAGGGGTGAACCCACATGGAGTCATATGAAGGTCAAATGACCTCACAATTTTCTGAATTTTTTTTCCTAAGAGACGTAACTTACCTTTACTGTTATGATCATATTCTGCCTCTGATAATCATAATTAATCTGCTGTTGCATCTGATGATTTTGCTGCTGATGGTTTTTGTCCAAGACTAGTTGTGTAGAGTGATTGTTGCCTTTATCGGAAGCCATTACTGGATTTCCAACAAGAAATTTACTTTCTTCCTCTGGTATAATATTCTCAAGTGCAGTACTTGCAAAATCCATGTACTATAAATTGAACTGAAACGCTTTTCTCCAATCTAAATAATTCCATAATGATGTCGGTTATGGTATAATGAAGCTGTAGAGTTTGATGAGAGGATGGAAATGAAAGAATTGAATACAAAAGATAAAGCTAATTTAAGCTTCCCATCTCTCTCTCAAGAACTAGACAACTTTTTTCTGTAATAGTATATAGTCTTATTTTCGTTAATGATATGTTGTTTAAAAATATTTTGAAGTTTCATTTTTGACCCCACTGTTCCAACTGTCTGAGTCTCCCCTGCATGGAGGTGAACCTCATGTTAGGGTGGGTCGGTTCAGCCAAAACCATAATCGCACCACCAATTTTTTGACCATACCATAGCCGCACTATAATCACGTAAATCGGTTCGGTTCGGTTCGGCACGGTTCGATTCGATTAATAACTACGAAAATAAATTATTTTTTATAGGTTCATCCGTCAAATTAATATAAAACAATTTATGAAAAAAGTTAATGAAAACAAAAACACAATATTCCAAACGAAATTCAAACATTATCAAACAATATTCCAAATGTAAATGCAAACATCATCCTAATTTTCAATTGTAAAATACAAATTTAACAAACAATATTATAAATATAATAATACTAAACTTTTCCTTCATTCTTAATTGTTGTGCATCGAAGTTACTTGATTCATTCTCTCCTACAAGTCTTACTAGCATAGATCGGCATTCAAAGTTGATTCCTATTCATACTGGCACGTCTAGAAAAATATCGAACTTTATTTTTACATGATTAGTAGTAATAAAATGGCTAACAAATGTAACAAATTTTCGGAGGTGACGACTTGGACCGTAGAGGCAGTGGAGCCGTGCGTGAGTTTGTGATTTGTGGAGAGTAGAGTTTGCATTTATATAATGTTATACTAATACTATTATGGGCTAGTTGAATGAGTCAGATAAATGTAATGAGGGTAGGGATTTTGTTTTGGTGTGGATAGAAAAGTAGTGTAAAGCCCATAATCAATTCAATTGTGTTTTTTTTTTTTAGCGGGTAATCGATTCGGTTTTGGTTCGAGACGTAAATACCATACCAGCACCATTACGAACCGGTTCATTAAAATCAAAATCATATCCGCCCCATTGCACCATCGGTTCGATTTTTTCACTCCATTCGATTCGATTAACCGCGATTTTCGATTTTGACGATTCAAATTGACATCTCTACCTGATGTGAATAAAATAGTGTCAAAAAGTAAATAATATTATTTGTAGTCGCACTACATAATATACATGTAGCGGTTAGTGATTTGTTGCATAATGTAATAAAAAAATTATCACATTAATGCATCAAATTACTAACCCTCACATGTATACCATATAAGACGATTAGATAGTGAATAACTGCAAATAACATTAATAATAATAAAAAATACCCCCTTTGTCTTTTCTGGAGGGGTTCTGTAACCCCTAATTCTATACATGAAGGGTTGCCGTAATAATTTTATATTCAAAAGTTCGTTGAAATGACATAAAATATCATTTTTTCTCATCATATTTTTTAAAAAATAATAAATTAAAAGTGCGAAAAAATATTTTTTCCTCATTTCAAAACATGAAAACAAATTTTATGATATAAATCATCATTAAAGATGAGACATACTAATTAATGAAAGGTTGAAAATAAGAATTCGATGAAAAAAATTAAGAAAAAAATTGGTAAAATGAGCAAACATTAAGGAACTTAACTGTGATTAAGATGTGGTGTAACAAATAAAAAATGTAGTGTCAATATAACCCTTTTTTTCTACTTTTTAAATTTTTTTTCCCATTTTTTGTGGGTGGTAAAATGACAATGCTATCCCTAATTTGGATCAACTTTGGCGTGAATAACCATGATGCGCATAGATCCAACCGGAAGTTGAATGGTGCCAATTTTTTACAATTCAATGTCATTTTAATTAAATTAGTTAATTCCTCATTGTATGTTTAATTTGTCGTTTACTTGATAAGTATATCATACATGTATACAAAATTTTGTCTCAAGAAGAACAAATACAGTTACGTGAAATTTCATAATTCATAAAAGTTACTCCGCATTAAATCAAAATTAATTTAACGTTAAATAATGTGTGATGTGTAGAAATAAAAAGAGAGAAATAAGTCGGACTATGCTTGTATACATTAAAATGTAAAGTTTAATTATCGTCATTATATGAAATCAGTATGAGGATCGATTTTTTGTGGTGAAATTGCCATGGAGGTTGAATGGAGGACAAGACCCCTCTTTACCAAAATTTCATTAATAGTTCAAAATTTTCATATAACTTGAATTTTTTTTCAAATTTGTCTTATAAATAGAGAGCCATCATTAGAATTTTGGATCATCGTCAAATGAGAGATATTAGAAAAATGGTATTGAGCGAGTGATCTCTTATAAAAAAAAATTTCATCATAGTAAAATATTGCAATAGCAGATAACACAATCTTACATTGATACAAATCTCTATAAATTTTGCTTATTTTTGTGTGTTTATTTCTTGTTCTGTGATTTAACATATACGCTAGTATAGAATTAGGGCTTGTTTGGGCTCGATTTTTTCACCCAAAAAATTAATTTTTTGACCGTTATTTTACTATTTCAGCCGTCATATTTGACTTATTTTCTCACAGGTGGACCCCACTTTTCTCCTAACAGTCAAAAAATCAATTTTCAAAATCACTCCCAAACAGGCTCTTAGAGTTTTTAATTATCAACAGTATAGATTGACAGAGCTTGAAATTCAAATGTATAATATGAGTTATGATTTTATTTGATATAATATGAATGTTCAAATTTCGGGTTTTCTAGAAGTTTTGACAGAGTCAAATTTATCTTCTACTAAAAAAAAAATTGAATTATCTCAATGTCAAAGTTGATTGAAATTAGGTGAAGAAAGAGTAGTTGTCACGGTTAGAGGCATTTGGATAAGATGGTGGTCCAATAATAAAGAGTCATGAATTCCTCCTGTGGCTAATCATGGGACCATCTTCAGTACGCGTTTACACTTTTTTGTGAAGGTCGGTGCAAGATATTTTCAATAGCTAAGATGAAAATTATTGTACATTCCGCGGAGTGTAAAACAAGAAAAGTCACCTCTGGGGCCTAACTTAGTGATGCAAAAGATATGAGTGAAATTATTTCACGCTTTGTTGACAGTCGTAGTGTGAGGGTTCGATTCCTGAAACATGGAATTGGACTCTTTGTAGGTGCAGTGTACAGACAGCTCTTGTTTCCTGGCTTGTTGGGCACATCCCACGATTTACCTCCCTCACAAAGCTCTAAGAGCGGGGCGGTGGGGGCCCTCAAGGTTGGGGTTCAACATTTTTTTTTTTTTTTTTAGAAAAGTCTACTCTTTTCAATTAAAGCAATAAAGTAGGGGGCTCGCGAGGTCATTGAACGTTGTTTTAGGTGTTAAACTAATTAGGCTAACAGTTTACGTAAAACGACATATGTATGCAAAATAATTGAAATGCCCTAAGCTAATTTGCTAAAATCGTACCATATTTCACCATAATCTTATTTGTTGTGATTGTACATGTTTCGCCGTTTAAAGTAAATGAAACATGCAAAAGAATGTATTGGGGGTGCAAGAGTAACACAAACGCAAAAGAATAATGAAATTGAGGTTTATATTTCTAGAGTGAGAATACTAATTTCTTTATTGCCTTCAAGTGCCAATAAGTTTTGAGTATTTATTATATGCAAAAAGAATGAATCTATATTATTTTTTATGCTTGACATATGATCTCATCTCAACTCTTCAAGTGTCAAAATGTGATGCCATCATAGGACTTTGACCTCCTATACAGTGTCTTAGGTGGGATTTGATTTCTGAAAGTCCTTGTAGAGATGCCGAGATAAAAGTTGTTATAAAGCATCACATTTCGAATCGTAACCACATTGAATTCCAAGCCCATCCAATAAAGCCAGAGGTGAATCCTTGCTGATCGTATTAGACCAGAGAAGTGGTAGGTTTGTATAGAACCACGTAGCTTGAGATGTTGTTGAGGAGGCGTTGCAATGTGATCTCAACACCTTGGAATAGGAGGCAATCGAGGTGATGACAAATGACATCAGCATCTCGAATAATAGGTGCTTGCATGATATTTTACTTAATTAATAGTAATCTAGTCAGAGACGTAGGCTAAAGCATAACAAATATATTGGCCATCTTCCAATTTTATATTCTTCATTGGTTTTTTTTTTTAGTAATGCTATTTGTAGTCGTTCGCTGTTATTGTCGTCTTACATGACATAAATGTGACGTTTAGTTATTTGAT